TCTATCTGCTAGACTCATTTCCTAAAATAAAATATTTCTCTCTGTGTCGTCAGGATGACACTTTACTCTTTTTTTATACAAAACTAGGCTCTGCAGTTGTTGGCAGGTTGCAAAATGCAAATATAGAATGTAGGCCATAGATGTGGCAACACATTGCAGAAATTATCCAGAGGAATGAGAAACAGCAGCATGTAAATTCAGCGGCGTCCCCCTTGGGCGGAAGCATGAACAGCAGCACGCAGTAATAAAACATACATGAGCTTCAGCCTGTGGTTACGCTGTGCTACATGCAGCCCGGCTCGTTCTGACTGGATCACTGTCACAAGTGGCTAATAATACACCTCAGTGGTGTTAGCACAGTCTGAGTCACTCTGACACGTTTTGAGCCACAAAATAGCGATTGATTTATTAGCACAATTCACATTACTGTGGACTGGAGCTGGTGTTTCAGCTCATAAACATTTTCTGTTGATATTTTTGAGATTTTGGTTGTTTATTGTTTTTCACACAACAGCAAATATTGGGAGGTTTGGATACCCCCAAATAAACTTTTTTTATTGCTGTTAAAGTGTCTAAATAGGCTGATTAGGGTTCTATCTGCATGTTTCTGTGCTAATTTGGACATTTTCGTGTAATTTTGTTTAATCCAGAGTTATTTTGCCTGAAAACGTCTCAGTGCTGACCTCTTTGGTTAATTCAAAATTAATTCGCATTCAAAAGTACTTTTCTGATCCCAAAGGGAAATTAAATTATGCTAATTCACCACCTAAAATAACAAAAGAGAGTTGTTGTAGGTGGTGATGGATGTGGGTAGGAAAGATCTCCTGTAGCAGTCTGGGTTGCAGCAAATTTGAAGAAGCCTCTGACTGAAGACACGCTGTTTTTCTAAAACAATCTAAAAAAAAAAAAACCTCATCTCACTCCGACACTTGGCCAGTGGTGCCAGTTTGGCAGGTTTTTAACACGTTTGGATGGGGGGGGGGAGAGTTTTGGGCATTTTGTTCAAATTTGGACTGTTTTCACAAAGTTTGCTGAGGTTTTAGAAAGTGTTCAGAGGGAAAAAATGATTGTCATCATGTGAAACTTTTCATAAAATTGCACTCATTGTATTAGTTCATTTATTTTGAAAAGTCTAGAATCTGTTGAATGTGACATTTATATATATATATATATATATATATATATATATATATATATATATATATATTTATGGGGATGTTGAAGAAAATAAATTCTGAGACACCATTTGTAAAGACCAAGGTTACAGTGTCGCTTTTCACTTCCCTTCTTGTGCATCACGATGAGCCTCCGTTTCACTATAAGCATCTAAACCCGACAGCATTCAGCTTTAAAAGCCTATTTACATTCTGAATTTAATTAGAGTCATATAACTGCAATGTTGCCCGAAGGAAAAGCAGCAGATTCTGCAATTATGAGACAACAACCAAGTTAAATTAGTCAGGATAGCCTACATTTCTGAGATGTACCTGTACTTTCTATTTCTTCTCTAAAACTGTGCATCAACAGACTGAAGCTGCTGGCGACTTTACCTTCATTTGCTTCATTACAAGCCCAAGCGAACTGACAGTCCAGCATGTCTGCTGAGTGGATGTAGACGTTAGGCTGCAGGGTTCATGGTCGTCAGCACACGCAATCCGCACATGTCATAAACAGTTATTCGTTTAACTCCAGGGACTTGTCTTCACACGGCAACCCAGGCCACCTGCTGAATGACTCAGCCAATGAACTATCTCCTTGGTATTTGTCTGTTTGTCACGATGCAGCGTGTTCTTCAAGAAAACACTCCATCAGCACCAAGTTTGTTTAAATCAGCTTTAATATGCAGATTATGCTTGGTTTCTTAAAGGTGACCTTTATGCTTCCTTGAACAGGTTAGGATGAGTCTATGGGTGATAAAAAAAAAAACATGTTAATTACTTTTTTGCACAAAATTATTCTAAGATAATGAGATTTCAGACTCTTCAGGTCTGCCTGTTTTGTTTCTTGTCACTTTAAATACGTTCTTTCTGGCGACGAACTCAACTTTTACACACACATGAAAATGACTGCAAAAGATGCACAATTATACAACCGTGCATCTTTGAAAAGCAGAAGTGGAGCCTCCTGTACAACCATCAAGAACGCCGCAAGTGGTTTCTGAATGGAAAGTCAACAAGACACTTGTCTTTTCCAACAGCCATTGTACAGCGCATACACACATTTTCTTTTATTTAAAACTAAAAAGATTTATTTCTTAACATATTTGTTGTTTTTATCTCTTCAGTGACATACTAAATAGACAATATTTAGTAAAGTAGTCAAATTTTTGTAGAAAAGGAATCTGTAAATCATAAACGGGACAAATAAATATTTTCTAAAGGGTTTTTTTTGGAATATCGTTTTTCTTTTACTTTTTTACTTTTGCCAATAAAGATTGAGCAAAAGTAGTGTTAAAGTAGTGTTATGAAAACAGAAACATTGTTAATTGATAGAAATACTTTGTCTAGGACCTAAATCAATAAATAAATGTTTTAAAAGACCTTGAATTAATCACGTATTGGCTCTATTCTTGAATTGTGAACTGAGGGGCCAAACAAACTCACCGAGAGAGCCACAAATGTTCCCGGGGCCACAGTTTGAACATCCCTGGTGTCATAAAATATTAAACTTTTTCACCATGTTCTGACTTTTAATATGCCTTTACATAAAAGTGTGCACTAAACACCAAACATCAGCTTGTGATTTAAATCATAAATATCCCAGAGACTCATTTTTCTATTTTTTTACGGGACGAGAGAGGAGGAGTGGAGAGGTAGTGGAGGTTTAACGAGATCCCGTGATATTAAAGCAGCACAATATTCATCTCCAAGCTGAAAGTCTGACGACGCGCTATCTAGACGCAGCATCAGCTGAAGACATTATTGTGAGCCACGGATATGAAAGTGCGTACTTTAAGCGTCACACCCTGTTGTGTCTGGAGTGCTGCGAAATGCCGATTACAGGTTTAATGTCTATGGGTGATAGACATTAAATGTTTCACGCAGATTTATTTTATTATCAGACCAAGAAAACCAGAGAGAATTCACAAACTGTTTTCACATGATGATTTCCTACCTTAAACAGGAAAGTGTTATCCAAATCAACCGGGCGCTATTTAAAAAACACTAATTACACCCTTGTGCTGAAGCATTAATTAACTGTGATTGAGCACATTTTTAGAAAGCTGAGTTCAATTTCACTATCTACACTCAAAGCCTCATTACTGCCAGACCAAAAGAATCAAGATGTCACTTAAAGAGAACCTGTCAGACGACACAGAGGACACTAAAAAAGACACATCATGTCTCCAATTTAAAGACATTCAAGAACATATCAGAAACAAAGTTACTGACATCTGCCAACGGACTGTGAACCCATTTCTAAGGATTTGTGGATCCAGTGAAACCAGTGGTGTCTGTAGTTTACATAAATGATGTTTTAAAATGTTTTTGCCCTTTTTATTCATCACAAGTTCAGCCCTCACTGCAAAAAAACAAAATCTTAACTAACAAGTATTTCTGTCTAGTTTCCAGTCCAGTCCTAGAGTTTGATTAAAGCGGACTAAACAGGGCTGGTGTGAATACACCAGAGACAAAACACTTTGCCGTAGCAGTAGATCTCCAGGCCACAAGTCAAGTCTTGACCAGATTATGTTTATCCAGACAAGGCATTTTGAAGGTGACCAAATGTCAATAGACAGAATCCTGAGAGAAAATTACTGAATTCATTTAAAGTAAGGTAGATAGTCAAATCAAGCATCAACTGATCTATGGTTCAGCAGGAAAAATGTGCTATCGCAGACTGACACCTGAAAATTGTACCTGAAAATGTTGGGTATATCTGTCAGAATAAATTTACCCAAAGAATAGTGGTTGGATTTCTTGAGCTGAACAAACTTCCAGAACAGCATTTTACAAATGTCTTCAAGCTTTAAAATATGGAGGATCTCTGACACCAGGAAGTGTTTGTCTTAGTGATCCATGAGGAACTGAATGTCTAACAGTGCCATTTTTATTCTCATGCCCTGTGGATGTTCACAGCACTGCTGATGTGCTTCACTCAGCCAAACTCCTAAAGCACAGAGGATTTTCAACATTGTCAATGTTAAATCGCTGCACTGAAACAGAACACGAGGAACCGAGGAACGACACGTCAGGTTATCATTCGAGTCACATCCGACCTTCAGCCCTATGATCATTTGTATGCTGTGGCAGTTCCTCCTACAATGAATTAAGTCCCATTGGTTTAATATAAACAGGGATGTAATAAATCTAAAAAATGTAATCACTTCTTGCAGTTGAAACCTGATACTCTGGTGTCTGACACCATTTAATTTCTCCATTTCAGAAAGAAAGAGATTTCACCTGCTCAAATATATTAATGTCACACTAAGTTGTATATCCTATACCTAAATAGAATGGCTTAAAAATATGTGATATTGCTTTTCTCATAGCATTCAAATGCATCATTTTATTAAGAGTAGTAAATTTCAGCTTAAAAAGAACTTGCATAGTCGTTTGCTAACAATGTTTTTAACCTTGACAACAAAATTGCAGGGTTTTTTTGGTATGTTTAATGAGTTTTTTCTATCTTTTATTGCAGCAACAGTCTTTTATCAGCTTCTAAAACAATTAAGTGTAAATTAAAGTGCCTGATTAAATCAACCTCTTATGGCAGCCATATTGGCAGGCAGTTGCTATGGAGTTGCTATGACAACCATAAACAAGCCATAAGCCTAAAACGAGCTCTCGCCCGTTTCTATCTAACTTATAAACAATATGAGTACATTACAACCATTACTCGGTTACAGTTTTGAGTCCTCTACCCACCTCTGTGTGATACTAAAACAAATATCAGTGATATTTACTGTAGTACTGGCTGCCGAACTATCGAAATTAGCTGAGCTAATGTAGCTTTTATCTGCTAGCTAAGACGGACATGTTTGTTGGTACTGTACTCACTCTGCTCGTCACCAGAAGCTTGTTATCCACCTGAAGGTTTCGTAGGTCCTTTACAAAGCCGTTGAAACGCTGATAGTATGAATTTCACGCCGTGAAGCTCCTCAACAGTTTTCCTGTTCACTAACTAGTGAACTATAGTGGGAGATCGGAAGCAGCTTGATCACATTTTTCCAATCTTTGTCTCATACGAGTCGATCCCGACTGAAGCGATTTTTTTGTGTATATTTCTCTTGCACATGGGTCAGTTGAGTCAATATTCTTTTTGTTGGTGCCGAAGACATTATTCATCAATGTTTTGTACTTGTCTACTAAAATGGCGGTTCAGTGACGCAGATCACTTCCGGTTCATATTTATGTATCATATTATTTGTATTTTTATTTTAGTTATTTTTGCATTATTTCCCTATATTAGAGTTGAAAGCTCATAGATCGGACATAACATGCACTGTAAGGCATTTTCCCAATTGATTTTTCACTATTTCTATTATTCTCTATGAAAACATGATGCATGGAAGAAGCACAAATTCCTGGACAAAAACTGAGTCAGTTTGGTAGAAACACACAACTGCTGCTTGGATAAAATAATTTCATACCCTTCAATACCTAGGAGGCGCTATTGTAAAGACAATGGGTCAATAACTTTCACTCACACAAAAACCCTACATGAGCATAGTCCTCCAACAATTCTGCATCATGTGACATTGAAAACGTTTTTTAATTGAAATGGGAATGAAAAAGACTTAATAATATTTCACATATAGACATGACCATATATATTTTGTACATTTTAGAATAAATGACAGATTTTTATTAACTTCCTATATCGGGTCAGAGAGTTCATTGTTGACATGAAGTGAGCTTCCTGTGATGATGTTCACCTGTACATCCCACACAAGCGTTCCTTAACCCTACATTCTGTTGAGTGTTTTTAGTCTGGAGGGGTTTAAAGCGTGTTTAACCAGTTTGTGAACCCAGTGTTCCAGTGTAAAGGTTAAATACCTGGAACAGGAAGTTTCCTCTCCCTATAGGCACAAACTCCCAGGATGTTCAGTCTGTCTCATTGTTGTGCAAGACATTTAACATCTGTCAGCTTTCAGACAGATGGCCTCATATTTAACTCCACAATATTCTGGTATTAAATATACGAGCAAAGAAGAGCTGATTAGAAATGTTCTAACATATTAATATAAATATATATTCACAGTAAATGTATATTTAAACCTTTGATACAATGGTTTAAAGGGACAAGACATGTGACCCTCTGTCCATCCATCCATCCATCCATCCATCCATCATCAGCCCCTTTTTTTCAGAGTATATTTCTATAAAACATTTGATTTCGTTCTGCCGGGTTGCAAACAGTGTAATGTTCTCAGAATTTACAAACAGAATAAAACATTTTGGGTTTTCTGATAAATAATGCAGCACCTGAATAATGAACATGAGTTTTCATCTCTCCAGTGAGTTTCTACCTAATATGCCGCATGGTGTTTACAGAAGTGCGTTAATCCCAACAGTGACTCTAATGAAACATCAGTCATAATATTCCCATTCAGCATCACAGCTCTGCGTACGCTCAGCAGCAGCTAAATTCAAAATGACAAGCTGCTGAGTCAGCAAATGCTCAAATGTTTTTTTTAAAATGAGGGGCACAGAATCGACTCGCTTCCTTGTTTTTTTTCTCTCAGAAGTGCGAACACAGCCTCAGGTAATAAGCAGCCAGCCGAATGTTGACTGAATCGCATTAAAATGCAAACCGGCTGAAAGGGCATTTTATTCAGAGCAGGTTGGTTGTAAGATCACAGTGGAGCAGAACCGCTGGGACGAACGGCAACGGTTCCCTAAGACTCACTGAAACCGTAGAGCAGAACCGCCTGGACGAACGGCAACGGTTCCCTAAGACTCACTGAAACCGTAGAGCAGAACCGCCTGGACGAACGGCAACGGTTCCCTAAGACTCACTGAAACCGTAGAGCAGAACCGCCTGGACGAATGGCAACGGTTCCCTAAGATTCACTGAAACCGTAGAGCAGAACCGCCTGGACGAACGGCAACGGTTCCCTAAGACTCATTGAAACCATAGCGGTTCAAAACCAAGCAGAGGTCAATATGAGATCCACTGATGGCAGATACGAGAATGAAGACATCTATCATTCCATCCATCCATCCATCCTGCTGCATCATGGATAAATATTTTCTGTTTATTTATTTTCTTTTAGTTTAGTGAAAATCTGACAGCATCAGATCAGATAAATATCAGAAGGATTAATAAATATTTACAAAACCACATTTTAACACAACATGTTACTTCTTCACTCATTTGCAGCTTAACGAGCCAGGCTGCAATTAGCGAGTGGGGGTGACAGTTTTACAGTGTAGTGTTAATAATATACAAGATGAAGCCAGAGACAGAAACACATTTTAAACTGACATGGAAAAATAGATGGAAATGAGTCACAAAAACCAGGTGTAGAAATCAGCTTATTATGTTTGTTTTTGTTTTCCATGATTTATCTCCACTCAGATCTTTATAAGGTGAATAAGAGCACATTCTGGTGAACGCTGCCACCAGAAAAACAATCAATAAATTTAGAAAAGGCTTTATTGATGAGACTGAAATTGTTCCGGCTCAGCTGAGATATTGATTCTGCGTATCAGGCAGACTCTTTTCAATCTCACAATGCTTTGGAAATGCCACATGGATTCAGGGTTTAATAAAAAACCATCACTGTGCTTCGGCTTTGTTGTGAAAATGCAGGTTTATACAGTTAGGAGTGGCTTTGTTTCAGCTGCAGCAGTTTTCATCCAGATTTCTCAGAACAATAACTTTTGTTATTGTTGCAGTTTAATTGCCTAATTTGTGGGTGTGGAAGTTTCTGAAATGAGAAGAAGTTTCTGAAGCGAAAAGAAAACATGAGGAAACAAGTTTAAAGTGTTGAGATTAATGAACGGCTCAGTAAGCGCTCCAATTACAGCCGGATATGTTAAGTTTCTAAATGTTAAAAAACATTACATTAAAGGAAAGCTTGAAATGAACCAATTTAAAGAATTTACACATTTATCTAAGAATCTAAACATTTATGCCAGTGGAGGAAAGAAATAAAACAAGAGAGAAAGAGATGAAAAAAATCTAGCAAAGCAAACAAATACATTTATTTTAAAGCTAAAGAAGATTTTAGCTGAAAACTGCTCATAATGTGGCATAAATCCGATAATAAGGACGGATATCTCCTGTCCGTCATCGTCCTCTGGTGAGACGATACGTCTCTTCATCTTTAGCTTCCTGAAGGTTTTTGATCCAAAGTGGATTTAAAGAGTAACAAAAATCAATATCAACCTTTTCTACCTGCAGATAAACTGTCTAAATTGGACCTTAAAGGTACTATCTTCATGTTTTTGTGCAAATTGTAACATTTTCATTTAAATTTCTCCAATATTTGGCCTTAAACTGTCTCAGTGCTGCCCTCTTTGGGCTGAAGGCTAAAGTTGCAGGTTACAGCGTGAGAGTTTGGTCGATTGCCCAGCGGTTCGGGTATAAAACCGTCACGCCCCCTGGTGGAGAGTCAGGATCACTTAAAAGTCTCCAATAACATAAAAAAGTTGTCAGATTTGTTGCTAGTTGCTTAAAAAAAATCTGCTAATGGGATCTGAAAGTTGCTAAATATAGCACACAATTTGTTAATTTAGCAACAGTGTTTTTGTCTCTTCAGCCCGTCGTCTCATCCCATCACTTGGCCACGCCCACTGTGCACATTAGCTCCGCCCACTTCAGAGGAATTTCAACATTTATCTGTTTCTCTAAAGTCGACTTGATTCATGAAATCAAATCATATTTAAACGTTTTGATAAATCTACCAAAAACAACACTAACACTTAATTGCATAATTTGACATTTCAAAAACAAATTTGCTAAATTGAAACAGCAATTTAAAAAAAAAATAAAACTGTAGTTTTTGATTAAAAGTTTTGGATGCTACTTTGAGGTGGTTTTTCAGCCATAAACTAAACTACAATTGATACACTTTTTTCACAACAAATGAGTCACATGACCAACAACCAAATGTTGCTACTGGCAGAAACCATAAAGAAGAAAACAGGAAGTGGTAGGAATGATGGCACAGCATGATCTTTAATGACATGAACAAAATTATTCATGTGATTTTAATTGCTTTTCTTACTTAAAGGAAAGAACACAATTGTGTTTTTTGACATTAGTGGAATACTGACAAAGTTTTGCTCACATTTAAAATGGAAACACAGCGACTGTCAGGAACACAAATGTGTTCAACAGTGATCTACTTGGTAAGAACTAAACATCATAATCAATCCTGCTACTCTATCCTTCCATCTATCTATCTGTCCGTCCATCTTTTATTATACCATCTATTTCTAACTTCCTGCTCCTTGTAGCTGTGCTGCAGTGTCAACTTCAGCTTGTAAACAGAGACCTGTGTTTCAGCTTGAGTTTAATTTCTCTATTTCTACTCTTTTCTGGAACTGCAACACATCTGGAAATACCTTTTATTATTCTGGATCCTGCACCAACAGACACATAAACCAGGCGACTCCCCCATAAAGACCAGTAAATCCTCACCAGCCAGTTTCTAGGCAACACTGGAGCCTCTAATAATGCCTGGTTATTGTGGCCTGCTGTCCAGGTGGGGGCATGTATGGGGGCTGACAGTCAGGGGTTGTAGATGGGAAAACATTTCTGTTGAAGACCTCATCTCTGTCAGCGTCGTGGGACCCAGCAGTCTCCATTAACAGACGGACACGAGGGGCCGGGATGTTGATGCGAGTCGTGACGGCTGGGAAAGCAGCCGAGGTGCCTTCTGTTTCCAGAACAGAGGGAGGAAGAGCGAGGTTATGAGTGGGCGACGGCAAAACCGAACCCTTCAAACCTGAAAAACATCTCAGCAGACCACGATAACAACTCCCGGTTTTTTTTGTTTTTTTTTATCTCAGCCTCCTTGTTCTGCTCACAGGAAATTAGATAAATTGAACAGTTCCTAATTTACATCTCCACAGCTGCGGGAAAAATGAAGAGCCCACTGCACTGAAAACCTGATGGTTTTTCCACCAAATACTGATTTCTGATTTAAAACATTAATATTGTTGTTTCTAAATGAATATGAATTTGTTCTCATTGCATTTTTTGAGCTCTGGAAGCACTGCACCGTTTCCTTATTTTGATCATTTCTCATTTTCTGTAAATAAATACAAACATTTTTGCTTTGAATTTCAGAGACATGTTGTCAGTAGTTTATAGAATAAAAGAACAAAGTT